CCTCCTTCATGGTCATGTTTTCTATTGTGTTTCCTTCTTGAATTATTAATGAGTTTTCTAACATGAAAAGTCATTAAAAACCATGCAAACACATTTTACTTTATCTTGTGTCACATTCAAGTAAAACTGTCTTGAAAATATACCCTTTTTAAATTTGTAAAATACTGTTCAGTGTTCCTTGATTTCTCACTAAATTATTTACTTACATTTGGCTTTATTTTATTATTAGTCAAAAATTTGTCAAACAGACATATTTTGTTGTAATGTTGTAGTGACATAAAGGACTTGATGACAACTACAATATATCAAAAAATACTATCACCAGAACCTTCTCTTGAATGGGCCATGAATATCCTGAAACCTGAGCATTAGAGAATTTGAAACTAAATTGCTACACGTCTTGTATTAATTTTTATGCAAAATTCTAAGAATCACTATATTTATTTTGTCATTTGAAACATATTAAATTTCTGTATTTGACTTCATCAATTTAGATCAGATTTGATAATTTACCTTTCAAGTTTATAGACTCTGCTTATCTAGATTAAAATCCTTGTATGTGAGAATCGGGACACAAACAAATTCATTGCCACTAAATTATGCATGATTGTTTTGATTAAACCTGTGAAAATGTGATCATGTTGGCATGTAATGTTATTTGAATGAATTAAACCACAGTTCCTTGATGAGATAATCAGAGTTGAGATTAATGGATTATATATCTAATGGTTACATGTGGTTAACCTCAACATATGTACTAATGTACCGGGTACATTATAAAAGAGAGTAGAAAAAACAAATTGAACTCTGAAACAACCTCTGGGCTGATTAAAGTCAGGGCATAGCTTACTCACATGGAACCCTGAAACAACCTCTTGGCTGATCTAAGTCAGGGCATGGCTAACTCACAGATCCAATCCTGAAACAACCTCTGGACTGATCTAAGTCAGGGCATGGCTAACTCACAGATCCAATCCTGAAACAACCTCTTGGCTGATCTAAGTCGGGGCATGGCTAACTCACAGATCAAACCCTGAAGCAACCTCTGGGCTGATCTAAGTGGGGGCATGGCTAACTCACAGATCCAACCCTGAAACAACCTCTGGGCTGATCTAAGTCAGGGCATGGCTAACTCACAGATCAAACCCTGAAGTAACCTCTTGGCTGATCTAAGTCAGGGCATGGCTAACTCACAGATCAAACCCTGAAGCAACCTCTGGGCTGATCTAAGTCAGGGCACAGCTGACTCTCAGAACACAGAAACTCACAGTTTTTCCCTGATATGAATTCACCACTTCCCTCCCCACTACTAAATTGCATTTATTATTATTTCATTATTAAAAGACATTTATCCTCAATAAAATACTATCTAGATTGTTTTCATTTAGTTTATTATTTACTCTAACAATTTATTTGATTGATGATGATAATAATAATAATGATAGTATCAGCAATAGTAAATTTGCTGTGGACAAATTTGTTGGGCAGGTAGTTTTGGTTTTCCATTGCACTTCTATAATAGAAAATGTATTCAGTCTTATCATTAATTTAAGCTGCCATTTTTCCTTACAATTGGAAGCATGGGTGGCAGCCACTGCTAATGTGCCACCTCTCTCCAATGCAACCCAGGTTTAAGTTCTGCCGATCTCAGTGTTGTATAAGAGTAGAGTTGTTTGTTGGTTCTCTCCGTGCTTCAAGGGTTTTTCTCCTGGTTCTTTGGTTTTCCTCCCTCCTTAACAATCAACTTCTAAATTCCAATTCGATCTTTGGGCTTTCAGCTACAGGTGTAGCTGGATCCTAGCTCTGTTGTGATTGTACCAATCTGCGATGCAACAGCTAAAGTTTAATATTTTTTCTTATAGTTATCTCATAGTTYGTTATTACCAGCTTGCTGCTTATATTAAGATTTCTTGTGATCCATGTATGTTGCTAAGGATGTTATTACTGTACGATAAGCACCATGTGGTTCTAACACAACATGATCCAGACAGACCGGCTCTATTTTCTTTAGTAATCTTTACAGCATTTCAATGAGACCGTTACTAACTGATTCAAAACTATAAACATCCATGTAAAAAAAATGATATATATATTCTGTCTTTGATTTGAATATAACATACTAGTTATTAAGGTGTTAAATTTTTTATGATTGAATAATTATTAAAGATCTGAACAAGCTTGAAGAAGTTACACTGATGAAAGCCTTTGTTTAGACCGAAACATCTGTTTAAAAATCGTAAATTTCACAAGTTAGATATAACTTTAATTTAATTATTATGATGAATCATGAATTCTAAATGCAATTTCGGAATAGCTCAAAGAAACATTATTCCAATCTTTAACATAGTTTTTGTTGTTGTTCAAGATTGAAGAGAACAGACAGAGAGTCAGATTTAGTCTTCTAAGTTCTACAGTATAATACAGGGTTTGTGCTACGCCTTGAAATCCTTGAAATCTTTATAAGAAGTCCTGGAATTCAAAACCCATTTTAAGTGCGCTTGAAAAGCCCTTGAAAATAGCTAAGTTGCTGGATACTCCTGGAATACGCCTTGAAAATGCAACGGTTGCTTATTTATCATGATCACCTACTCTAACCTAATTTTTGTTGAAAATCCATTTATTACTTACGTGAATAAGGTTGTTAACTTATATGCTATTTTCCATTTTTTTAAGTCGATGATATGGAGCCTGAAAATAATTTATTGTATTTATTATGCATTGTTAAGAAGAAATTCACAAGCAAAATTGATCCTTGATAATCATAATTTTGGCCTTAAAAAGTCCTTAAAAATGCCTTGAATTTTGTGTCAGAGGTGTAGCACGAACCCTGATAATAAACTATATTTAAGATATTTTTAATGCTTATGATCAGTAAGTTATCTTAAAGACTGAATTATGGAAGGGGTTGATATGTCACTGCCCTCAATTGAAAAACAAAATGAATAAATGAATAAAATAAAATAACTTTTGGGCATTTGTTATACATGTAGTACCCTACTGTACAGAGACCATATTAAATTCCAAGCTACTCGGACCTAAATTAATTTCTTGTTAAATTAAAGTTTTACAATCATTATAATATATTAATAGATCTCCTGTGATATGTTAAATTATTTCTTTTCAAGGTAATCTTTTCCTCATTTGCCATGAGGAGTCATCTTGAGAACTTAAAGGCAGTTAAGCTACTTCATTAGTACTTGTTATAGGGTTATTAGAATACTCAAGAATTTCAAAAATCTACAACGGCCACGTCAACAGAAAGCGTAAATAATTTCTCTTTTGGGTTTTGTTCATTTGAGATTTCATTCACCACGTTGTTAGTAAAGTCAACTCATCCACAGGGAAGACAGACTGTAAAGGTTCAAAACCCTAAAGACTATTGAAATTATTAACACTTCCAGTTGACATAGCCATCAGGGATTTTTCAAATCTTTAAGGTCCAATACTTTATGGTAACGGACATATTTGATGGCCACTAATGGGTAGTGTAACAGTAGTGCATGTTCAGGGTTCATGCTACTCCTTAAACTCCTTGAAAACTCCTTCAATTTAATTCATGTTTTCAAGGGCACTTGAAAAGCTCTTGAATTTGACGATTTTAGCGAAACTCCTTGAAAATTCAAATTTTTGCTTTGATCTGTACTTGCATGGTTCTGAAAAAGATCTAGTCAGAAAGATTGGAAAATCTGAAAGTTGGTTATGTGCAACCACCGTKTAAAACCTTGGCATAGTTAGCTGAACATACTCCTTGAAAATTCATTTTTGGGTCCTTGTATACTCCTTGAATAGTCCTTGAATTTTAAGTGGTTACCTCAGCACGAACCCTGATGTTACTTTTACTTCTGAGGTCTTGGGTTTGATTCCTATAGGCTTTGCATCACATGTGAGTAGAGTTTGTTGGATTTCTGTGGTTTTTCTCCTGGTTGTCCAGTTTCCCTGAGGGCCGTAACCAGAACTTTTACAGTGAGGGTGCGCATCAAATAAAATTGGACCATTGACCAGTTTTTAGTAGCCGCTTTTTATTACCAACTGTCATGTTTTTCACATAGTCATAGTGGTTTTCAAAAACCCGTAAAATACACCAATTTTAAAGCAAATGGAGATAGATGAGCAGACCTTAAGCTTTTATGGGGGGGGGGGGTGCAAGTGCACCCTGTGCTTCCCCCTGGTTACAGCCCTGCCCCTCTGAGAGAAATATAATGATCTTTACATGTATTTAAAGAGAGGATGACGGCATGACAGTAGAAACCAATTAACTTACAGCCTTTGGTAGGGTTACAGTAAAGGTGCTCTATACCGCTTATATAGGCTTTTTATTTTAACTCAATATACGAAATTTGAGGCCACCATTTTGACAGTTGCCCTATTATTGTCCTATTAATACAAATTTAAGAAAGGTTCCAGAGGATTCTACAGCTTCCTACTCTTATTTGTATTATACATGTTATAAGAATGATGTATTTAGTAAGAAGATTTTTTCATTGGAGTTGCCAGACTTAGTGTCTCTTGTTTCTTTGTTCCTATGTCAAAATTTCCTTCTTAATTTCCACCAATATCATTAAGTGTAATTAACCCATGAAATACAAAAAGTAAATAACAGAATCGTTGGAATATAAAATCAATCATTTTTTGCGTTTGTTGTGTTTCTATTTAACAGCTGGGGTTTTTTTTTTTTGTTTTTTTTTAATTATGTTTTGGAAAATTGAACAGAATTGTTGGAATATAGAATCAATCATTTTCTGCATTCATTTTGTTTCTATGTAACAGCTGTTTTTTTTTATTTTAGATAATGTTTTGGAAAAGGGATCAAAACAACCCAAGGGAAAACCCCTAAGAAAACCTCAAAAACCTCTAAGATATTGGAAGAGATAAATAGCTAAAAACTAGTGTAAGCTGCATCAGTGTCACCTCTTTCTCCTTTACTCAAATTTATTTTTCAAATTTCGTACAGTTAAGTATAATTTAAGAGGCTCTGGTACTAAACTTGAGCAATATTCATTTAACAGTAAATGGCGTCTTAATTCTTTTGTATCCATAGCTAGTCATCTTTGGAACAATTTACCATCTAATGCGAGAAATGCTGTTAACGTAAATAGCTTTAAGAATATCATACGTAAATTAGACTTCATACCTTTTACATATCGTTAGATAAATTTTTATTTATCATATATTGGATATATATATATATATTTTCTTATTTCCTTTATTAACTTCCCATTGTAAATAGATATTTATCATTTCATATTTTATATTTATTGCATATATACATATATATATTATATTTTATATCACTTTAATTTAGGTTATTTCTTAATAGATTAGTGCACGTGCGCATTTTAAACGAGTATGTGAAATGCTCCTAGGCGTTATGTGGATAAATAAACTATTATTATTATTATTATTACTCCGACGAAGGACTAGCGTCTGAAACGTCAGTTTTTTCATTTCTCCACAGTGCATAATTTACCTTTTTATCTCTAAGATATTGGCTTAATCTGGCTTTTTTTAGAATTTGATATTTGCCACTTTGTTCCTTGCAAGGTCTTATTCCTTTAACAGCTGTTTTTTAATTTTTAGTAATGTTTTGGGAAAGGGATCGAAACAACCCAAGGGAAAACCCCTAAGAAAACCTCAAAAATATTGGCTTAATCCAGTACATGTGACAAAAGAATTTTTTTTAGAATTTGATATCTGCCACTCTGTGTTCCTTGCTAGGTCTTATTTCTTTGACAGCTGTTTTTTTTATATTTTTAGTTATGTTTAAGAAAAGAGATCAAAACAACCCAAGGGAAAACCCCTAAGAAATCCTCAAAAACCTCTAAGATATTGGCCTGATTTGATGCGACAAGACTTTTTTCAGAATTCGATAATTGCCACTCTCTGTTCCTTGCTAGCCCTTATTACATTTCAGTATACAAGGTGTATCCAGCGGTGTTAGAGACATTTTGGTATGTTTTGACTCCCTTTTTCCATTTGAATTTTTTTGTTGTGAGTATCAGTTTTTTTATGGGGGGAGGGGAAGGTAGATTTGTTTAATAGGTTTGTGTAGAGCTTTTTTTGGTAAATCTAATTCAAAAGTTTTAGGAGTAATAAAATATTAAACATGAGATAAGAAAGAAAATTGTTTTTTTGGTAAAAGACAGTCTATCTGGTGGTTTTGAAAATTATTGTTGTACAAACATTCGGACCATAGAGCTTTTAAGTAGTGTTTAAAAAAGGAGTAAGAGTGTTTTATCAGGTATAAAAGCACAAAGGCGTAGCCAACTGCTATTATACATGATAAAACACGATCTACGAGTTTTTTGAACTGCTTAAAACACTCATGAACAATTTATAAGATTTTGGTTCAACTGGAGCCACCATACACATCACGAACATGGATTTTTATGCTTCAATAGAGATTTGAAGTCACTGGCATGCGCAACCAGATTCAATAGAAGCTCCCACACGTTGGATATTGCATGCCAAGGCAAAGACAGGCATGTTGGTCAAAGATTTTTAGGGTTGACTATGACCTTGATGAGGCTCTAAGTCTTCATCTAAACTTGGATGCATACTTCATTCCTGATGAAGTCATCATCATAGTATTCGAGTGATCTAAAGACCACATGTGTCTTTATATAAAATCACTTGAATACTAATGAAGAGGACTTTATCGGGTATAAAGGTCCATGCAAGTGACATGTATGGTGGCTCCAATCGGACCATAAGCTTATGAATTATTAATGAGTATTTTAAGCTTGCTACATATTTCCAGGTACAGCTGCTCAAAAAATCAATCTATTAATTTAATTAATAATTAATAAACCAAAGGTATAGGAATATATATAGAACTCAAAGGTTCGCACTTTACCCTCTCAGACTATCACTGCTCCTTATTAAGGGTAATTAAAGCTAAGCTACGCTAAACAGAGAACAGTCAAAACAGACGTGGAGATTGTGTAGATGTTTTGGACGATGAAGTCATTTTTTTCCTTTCATTGATGTAACACGATTGCTTTAGAGCAGGGTTTTCATTAAGTTTTGAAATAATAGGTTGAGAATATTATGAAGTTGCTGGAGAGCCCTCACAGGGTTTTGAAATAATAGAACAAGATTGTAGTAGTTTAAGCCAAAAAAGTTTGCCTCAGAATTGGAGCATTCTCCAAACTCAGACTCTTGATTTAAAATCTGACAAATGGTATGTCACACTGACATTCTGATCAGTGGAATACTTACCTATAATAACAATAGGGAGGGAGGGAGGGCGGGGAAAAAAAAATCTAGTATTTAGCGCATTGTTGCCAGAGGCTAGCGATAGTGAATATCGTAATGCAAGTGATTGTTGGCCGAATTTAAGGTCAAGCTAGCATGATCACATGGATAACATGTGATTGAGTTGACCCAATGCAAAAAAAACGTTGATTGATGCAGTATCCGTTTACTAAAAGAACAGAAAAGATTGGGGAAAATTGGATTACCTCAACTGTAAGGCTAGGTTTTCTAGAACTTTCCAATTAAAATGATGCATACTATTTGTGTTTCCAACCAAAATTTCTGGTTTTTCTTGTTAAATGGAAAGCACCCCTGAGCTGTGTTCCTATTAAATATTTTTTGCTTATCTATTGCAGGTTGAGAGAGAAATTGCAATCATGAAGCTAATAGAACATCCCCATGTGCTTGGATTGTATGACGTTTATGAAAACAAAAAACATTTGTAAGTGCTCTTTATTATTTAATCATAGCTGCATTAATTAATGTACAGTATGATGGATGAATCAATGCACTTTTTCGGCGCTAGCCGTCACACAGTATAAATTGTTTTAGATCGTGTTACAGTCACCAAAAAGTTCGGACATTCTTGAATTTTCGTAYAAATGTACTGACTTTAAATTAACTATTTACTTGGTTCGTTTAGTTAGTTCTCTAAATACAAGTGAAGATTTTTCTAGCTTGATTGAAGCTTTTCTTACTGCTCTTAAGAGAGCTAACTAAAGAATTCTGTACCTAAATTTTCTCTATAAAGTCAGTGAATTTGTATGGGAATCCGAGAACAATGTCTCAACTTTTTGGTGGCAGTAACACGATCCAAGCTAGCGCCAAAAAGGTGAATTGAATTTGATCGATTCAATTTAATTTTGAGATATGATATTCACTGTCAAAAGTATAGCAGGCGGACACGAGATCAGGCAGAGCAAAAATGTAGGCATTTTCCTAAAATTGCTTCCCTCTGACCTTGACAAATCAAACTGTTCAATGTTCAATTTCTTGATTATTTTTTGAGCTGCCTGCAAACTGAAATTTTCCTAATTTTGTGAACAAGGTGCATTCTGGTCTAGCTTGGGTACAAAAATCACTGAAATTTTCCTAATTTTGTGAACAAGGTGCATTCTGGTCTAGCTTGGGTACAAAAATCACCACATAACACATGATGAACTAAAGATGTTTGTACCAAAGCTAGCTAGACCAAAGGCCTATGGTATGGTATTTTAAAGCTTACCCTGATGGTTGGGCTCCCTGTGTTTTCTATTTTCCCCCAGATAGTTGGGATGCCTGTGTCAATAACAGTAGTTGTTGGCTATGGCCATTTTCTTTCAACATCTCAAATAATTATTCTTACCTGGATTAGTGGGCTACCTGTGTTGTGATGATAATTTTAAACTCGTGTTCAAATCAATTGATTTTTCCTACAGATTTCTTATTCTTGAGCACGTTTCTGGAGGAGAATTATTTGATTATTTGGTCAGAAGAGGACGACTACCCATAGCTGAGGTATTCAATAACAATATGTTAGATATCAACCATTTCTCTAGATACTGYAATGTTACTCTATCTGTCTCTAATTGATGGATTGCAAGCATTCCCAAGAGAGTTAAAAGACAAAAACATGGCGGCCATTGTGGTACAGTTAACAATGGATGCTAATGAGAAATCTTTTGTTAAATGGCACCAACATGGCTGCAATGACGTAACGTGCAAACAAAGAATAGACCTCCGTATCTTGAGTATGATGCCTTTCCATTTTAGACCACATGTCATTCTCTTGACAATAAGATTACGTTACACCCAAGCTCCAAGAGTCCTAATTTCTGCTCAATTTTGTCAAGTGTATTATAAACAAAAAATCGCACAATCTTCTCGTACAATTTAGAATTTGAAATCATAGATACTCGTGGTGTTTTGAAAGCTTCTCAAATTGGACTTGCCTAAAGGCTTTCAAAACTTTCAAAACATCATTTGTACCTATAAATTTCGAATCGTACTTGAGATCGTCTGATTACCTATACAAACCTGGCCATCAGTACATTTTCATTTTGGTTGCAGTCTAGAAGATTTTTTGCACAGATAGTTTCTGCTGTCGACTTCTGTCACAAGCATTGTATTTGGTGAGTGAAGACATTTCCCTTTGAGATGTTGGTTTGCTATTTTTTTAAACAATGAAATACAACATGATCTTATAAGTCTATTGCTATTACTTTTCAGTCATAGAGATTTAAAACCAGAAAATTTATTATTGGACAGAAGAATGAATATTAAAGTAGCAGACTTTGGAATGGCATCACTGCAGGTACTGTATAGTTTAGTTTAGTTTATTTGTCACAATATAAACATATACATTTTATAAAACTTGAGACATACAAATTTTGTGACTG